CTTTCTTTTTTCTTTAAATATAGTGGAAATCTCAATGTAGATAATATAGATAATAAAATTCTTGTTCAAATGCTCACAATGTTAGAGAAGATAGAAGAAAAATACAATGAATATCAAGATTTTAGGGAATAAATCACAGGGAAAACAGGTTAATGCATTTTGTAGATGAATTGAGGGATTTAATTAGATTGAAAGGGATATTTTGGTATTTTCCATGATGAGGGTATTTTAGATATTTGACATTATTTGTTTATTGTATTTTATAAATGAAGGTCATTTGACCAAGAAACATTGAAGGAATGTTATTTTATCAAAATCATTGTTTGACTATGTTTTTTTATCAAATCCCCAAAAAAAAAAATGGTCAAATTGGAAAATTGGTTATTTGACCGAGCAAATTTAAAAACTACCCGACAAGCGGTTCTCTTCCTCGGTAAACGCTAAAATACGGGAACAATTCATCGCCCCTGGGCACCAATTTATATCGTGGTGCTGTGCTTTCTACTCAACTTCTGCATCACCAAACTTGGGGGGTAGTATCGGGTTTTATTAGTGTAAAAATGTCTTTATATGATGAAATCGCATTCTATTTGAATGTTGTGTGAATGATTTAATTTTATCTCAACTCCTTATGATTTGTTCCAAAGCTGTTGATTCTTGATGATAATTTTCCTGTAGCAACATTGATTTTTTCGACAACACTTCTCTTGAATTTTTGATGCGGTTGTTCACTGTTTTATCCTTGCTTAGAAAACTGGCTGCCCCTCACGTGAAATACCCAGGACCAAAATCCAGTGGGGGGCAGTTAATAGACCCCAGGTCGGGCTCCGGCTCCGCCCCTGTACATTTGAGTCAGAATTCATCAAATATGAAAATTTTGTGGTTGTGCTCTTTGTTATAATGTGTAGGCCCATGCTAGAAAAGGTATCCCTAATCAGTTTTCATGACCTTTTACTTGTTTGGGCTTAATTTTTCGTTATTGATGTTTGGGTTTTGATATTGCATTATTTACTATGGCTGATGGGGGAATTTTGATGAGTCTACATCTTATTGGAGTGGTGGAAGCTTCTAGTAGTACTATGGCTTGGAATGTTACTTCACATCTTATTGATTCGTGAACCCTCAAATGAAGTTGAAATTGGAAGGAAAAGAGGGTTCTGATTTTTTATCTGATGATCTGTTTCTACACAATATTATGTGGTTCAACTTTCTTTCTAAATGGTGTAAAGTTATCTAACAATTAAAAATATAAAATATAAAAGAAGTGTTTACTTTTCTTGTGAGCTTGCTCGATACTGTCAGTAACCATTGATGGATGCTATTTATTCCTATGAAATGAAGATGTTAAATATTAAAATATTAGAATGATAAGAACAAAAGAAGAAAAAAACTGAGATGTGTTGATATAGGAAAATGAGATGCTTGCTTTTAAGGAATTTAAATTTCCTAAAGTTCCTGTATTTAACAAGTGACAAAACCTTGTATTTAGTTAGCCCCTATTGGTTAAAAATGGTTGCAAACTTTATACAATATAGGCCCATTGTAGGATTTTAGAATAAAAAGTTTCTTTCTTAGGGAATTAAATGAAAGCCGATTTTGGGGTGATATGTTTCTTTGGCATGTTTGTGGATCTCTATTTCAAAATAATGGTATAGACTGAACTGAGCACTTTAGTCAGAGTGCACTCCTGAAGACTAAAGCTGCCAACTCATTATCAATAACTTGAGTCACCTTAATTTGGGTAAAAAGCTGACTTTCCCTTGCCATTCTGGTTGTTCAAGTAAAAACAAGGAGAAAACTCGTGGCTACCTAAAAAATACGATAATTGGGCGGCTTTTGGGATTGGATGTGCAAATGTGGTAAACTTTTCGGTTTATTCTTCTATTTTGTGGCTTAGTCTGATGATTATACTCATATGTTGGTCATCACATTACAGAAGTACATTTGTTAGGGCCCAATGGAAGAAGTTTTTTCATGAATTAAGCTCCTAGTTATTACGGTAAGATGCACATAATAGATGGATCCTAGAAGATGTACAACTGGAAGAGCCTATTTCCCTGATAGGAATATGAGGACTGTATAATCTGATTCAAAATTGTGAAATAGCAAGAAAACTCAAATGCCATGATGTATAATAGGAAACTTTGGTTTCTACCAATTGCAGAATTTGGGAAATATTTTAATCAACATTTGATGTAGTCTTTTGCCTCTTGTTTGGTCTTCGACTTTCCAATCTAGGTTTTCTTACAGCATCTTTGGCTAAGCTTACAAAAATATAAAGTTACTTTTTAAGTAACCTTTTTCCTAACATGTTTAGATAAGTTACTTTTAATAAAAAGTTATTTGTTCTCAAGGTAATACCTTAGTGTCAAAATAAATAATTCATTACCTTCTTTGATCAATAAATGAATAATTTATTTTTGAACGAACTTATTTACCTGTTAGAAAACCTTTTAAGCATAGCCAAACTTGTAGCCTGCTATACATTTGATGCTCTTGTAATTAATCTTTTGATACGTGCAGTGTTCAATCATGATTGAGAGTGGAAATTTAACCCTCAAATCTCATTATGAGATCCTCGATGTGAAGGAAGATGCTAGATCTGACGAAATTCGTACATGCTACCGAACTGCCATTCTGAGTTATCATCCAGATAAAATGCAAACGACATCCCACACATCAAATCCTGCAAACGAGCTGGGCAGAAGGTTTTTAGAGGTGCAGAGGGCTTGGGAAATCCTCGGAGATTCAAAATCTCGTGCACTTTATGATAACGAGCTACAATCTTCGAGGCAAGATTCTGCAACTGCTGAAGATATCAGATTAGAGGATCTGTCAATCGAAGCGGTTGGTGATATTTTTGAGCTTTCGTATGGCTGCAGATGTGGCGATTACTTCCTAATCGATTCTTTGGAGTTTTCAGATATGGGATATTCGCTGTCGAAAAATGGGAGTAAAACTGTTTTGCAAGCGCCTAGATCTCCACCTGCATCTGTTGTTCTTCCTTGTGGGTCATGCTCGCTTAAAGTACGGTTATTGATTA